CCGTTTCAGACAAGTGGCTGCCCATGTCTCTTCTTGAAATCCTCCAGTGTTGGAGCACCCACAACTCCTCTTCCAATGGTCCAGTGTTCTCCCCATTAGGAAGATTCTTCTTCCTTCCAGATTGCTTCTCTCCTTGATTAGTTTCCATCCATCGTTTCCCGCCCCCTGGTGCCTTTGAGAAAGAACCTCCCCCCCCCCCCCCCACCCGGTCTTTGTGACAACCCATCAAATCCTGGCATGTTGCTATCATGTCACCCTTAACCGTTTTCCCCCCTCTAGACTGGCCTGCAGCCGTTCTTCATGTGTCTTCATCATCTCTGGGCCTTCAATCCTCTCAGCTGCTCTTCTCTGCACTTTCCCCCAAAGTCCCAACCTCTTTTTTGCCATGTGGGGGCCACAACCGGATGCGGTACTCCAGGGGTGGCCTTACTAAGGCTTTATAAAGCGGTAGTAAGGCTTCGCGTGGTTTTGATTCTATGCCTCTGTTTAATACGACCAAGGATCGTATTAGCTTTTTTACCAGCGTACAAAGAGGCCCTTGAAAAGGGGGGTCTCATCAGATGCCCCCCCCCTCCCTTCAAGTTCTCTGCAGATCTCCAAGCATCTCCCTGGGCAAGGAGCAGGCTGGCTGAGCCAGAGAATAGCAGCAGCATTCCCCGGTCACTGAAGAAACCCTTCGCCCTGCAGGAGACGCCTCCCCCAAGACTTCCCCGGCCAGGATCCCACCTGAGCGCAGGCCAACCCAGGTCCATCCCCCCCCCCCTCTCCCCATCCTGCAGCTGCCAAGGCCTGCTGCTGAACCCTCAGTCCACCAGGGGGCGCCAGGTACTCCTTCCCAAAATGCAGCTCTTTTATTTTGGTGATTGCAGGCAAAGAGCACTGAGAACCGTTTGTTCTTCCTCCTCCTCCTCCTCCTCTTCCTCCTGAAAGCTCCGAGCAAAACGGCCCCCGGACTTTCCAGGCCACCCAAGGCCACCATCTGAGCCCCTTTCAGGTTGCAAAAGGGCCTGGCGAGCTGCCTCTACCCAAATCGCCCAGTTGGTTGGAGGGGGGGGCACTTGGCCCCTTCAGAGCCCACGGTGGGCTTTCCGCCTGGACAGAGGCCACGTCACAAAAGACGGAAGAGGAGGCGGCCCAGCTACGCCTCCAAGGCCAGCCTGCCCTGAAGAAGAAACGGCTTAGGCTGAGCCAGCCGTAGGGTGATGGGCTCTCAGCCATGCAAAAGGAGCCCCGGGGATGCGCAGGGGGGGGGTCTGCCTTCTCCCCCCACCACCTCCTTTCCCGAGGGGGAGAGCCAGGACTGGGCAGGACAGGGAGGGAGGTCCGGCTTCCTTCCCAGCCCCTCCCGGCTCCTGCGGGAGCAGCCGCCCGCCAGCCTCAGTTGCTGGGGTGGTGGGAGGGCAGGACCAGGCAGGGGCCCCTGGGTGGAAGGGAGGCTCCCGGGGAGCTGAGCCAGGCCACACAAGACAAGCTCTGATCAAAAAGAGATCCGTCTGCAGGTCAAAGAGAAACTTTCCGTTTCTTCAAGCACTCCAATTCCTCAATTTTCTGGCTGGAAAAGAGAAGCGGTTTTGCACAGCTGGGAAGTTTAAGAGTCAATTGCTGACACTGAGCTAAGCCGCTTCCCCTTCCTTCTCCCCACGGCAGCTCTTCGTCTCACTGGTCCAAGGCCAGGTTTGAACCGGGTGGAGAGGAAGCCGTTTCTGCCAGGGGGCCTGGAAGTCCCCGTCGGCCCCAGCGCCTGGCCATGAGCAGAGCCTGTGGGCCGAGGGCTCTGGGCATCAGCCTCCGTTGCAATTTCTGGGTGGTGGTGAGTCACCAAACCCATGACTCTGTTCCTTGTGACTCCAGAGAGCACAGCCGCATCCTCTCTGCCCTGTAGAGGACCTTGCCCCCCACCCCCACCCCCACCCCCCTTGCAAGGGCTTTTGCAGAGCCCTCTGCGTCCTCCCTCTGTGCTCCTTCCTCAATCCCTGCCTCCTTTCTGCTTCAGCCCGTCGTCTTCTCTCTCGGAGCAGAATCCTTCCCCCTGCCTGCTTCACTTAAGGACGGCCAGGTTCAGGGGAGGCCAAAATCAGCAACACAACTGTCGGAGCGCGGCAATCAAAGCTCCGCCCCTTTGTGCACACAGGGACTCTGCGCGTGTTCAGAGGCTGCGTCGGTGGTCTCCCTGCAGACGCCAGGAGGCCCCCTCTGCCCTTCCGACCGGAGGGGCAGCGTCCACCACCGCCAGGGAGGCCAAAGGCTCAGCGGCCACCTGCTCCCACGGCTCTCTTCCAGCCTCCTCAGCCCACCCACCCACCCACCCACCCAGCCTGGCCCAGCCTCGGGGGGGGGGGGGGGGGGGGGGGGGGGGGTGCGGGGGGGGGGGGGGGGGGGGGGGGGGGGGGGGGGGGGGGGGGG